GAGCAGAAGGAACTCATGATGAAGGTTCCATACGCTTCTGCGATTGGATCCATCATGTACGCCATGATATGTACTAGACCTGATGTCTCATTCGCTTTAAGCGTGACCAGCAGATACCAGGGAAGTCCAGGAGAAGCACACTGGACAGCGGTCAAGAACATCCTCAAGTATCTTCGCAATACTAAGGATGCATTCCTGGTATACGGTGGTGAGGAAGAGCTAAAGGTGGTCGGTTACACTGATGCTAGCTTCCAAACCGATAGAGACGATTCAAAATCACAAGCAGGATATTTGTTTTGCCTGAATGGCGGAGCTTTTAGCTGGAAGAGCTTCAAGGAGGATACAACCGCCGAGGCAGCTAAAGAAGCTATTTGGATCAAGAAGTTCATTACTGAACTTGGAGTGGTTCCTAGTATTAATGACCCTATCTCGTTGTTTTGCGACAACACTGGGGCCATTGCACAGGCAAAAGAACCGCGATCTCACCAGAAAACCAAACACATTCTACGATGCTATCACATCATACGAGAAATCATAGACAGAGGAGATGTGATTATTTGCAAAGTGGATACTAACGACAACATAGCCGACCCCCTGACCAAGCATTTAAAAGATGTTTATCAGATAATGTTATTCTGCTGATGAGACTAACATCTTGAAATAAATATTTATCTAAATGTCCATAGTCGAGTATTAACGAGAGTGGGATATCGTTAATGCATGTGAGACTAGTGTGTGTTGGATGTTTGAATTAGTCTCATAGTCAATGACGGTGTGTTCGCATCCGCACATGGGCAGATATTATCTAGAGATAATAGGATGCCGGACTGACCCATCCTAAAGATGTTGCTTGAACTTTTAGTTCATGCTCTAAGCATCTTTAGCGCGACCACGACTGTAACTATCCTTCGACTCGAAGTATTACGTTTTCTACATATGTGAACCCGTGTACTTTGATGCATCGTCCTAAGCCATATGAAATAAGGATGGTATACAGGCTTTGTTTTGGGTATGCCGCAGCGTGTATTCAGAAACGTAGATAGGATTTGTCACTACTCTTTTTAAAGAGATTAATGTCTTATGGGGCCCACTGATAAGTTATGACTAAGGAAATTGCATGGCCATGCTGAGATGCTTTTATGACGTCTGTTCCTATTAGTCAGACTTGATAAATCAGTGAATGACTTAATGGATACAAGCTGGATTTTATTAATCCCTTGCATTAAGTTTAGACATTGAGACAAAGGGATACAGTTACACGAAGTCTAAGTCGTGGAAAGGTTTTGACGGTGCAAACGTCTTAACTTATAATCTGGGGGCAATAATGTGTTGCTAGATACCGCTTATTGCTTATAGTATTGGTGCAGAGCCAATACTGTTGCCAGTTTTATAAGTGCCTATATGGGTCACACACTTTGGACAATTTAAGGAGTAGGATTAAACAATGGGATAATAAGTAATTTGTATATTTGTAAAAATAGTAAAGTAAAATATTTTGGAATATAATATTATATATGTGATATTTGGTTATATATATATATATTATATATATATTTGAACCGATTAATATATATATTATATATTGAATATTTTATTTTGGTTTGTCATTTTAATTATGAAAATAATTATTTTGACATAAACTATTTAAAGTATATTTGTATACTTGTTTAAAATGATATTGGTATTTTTATTTGATTTAAAATTAATTTTATATTAATTTTTTATGTCAAATAAAATACACTTTGAACATTTTAGTGGAGAAGAATTTTGAAAATCCTTCTCACAATCACAAAGAAAATTTTCGGCCATCATAAGGATTTTGAGAATCAAACTTTCCTTGATTGCTAATTAAGTGGCTAGTTAATTTTGTCATTTAGCTAATGACAAAATAGTTTGATTAATCATTTTGAATCTTTTGTTTTCTTTTTAAAAGGTTACACGGCACTTTGAAATAAAATAAGGGGTGAAGATTATCATTTTCATTAGTGTGTCATTCGGCCATATTTTTCTAGAGAGAAGAAATATTAGTTTGGTTCCATTAATATCATTTT